GTAGTAGAAGCGACTCTAGACAAAACTGAACAGAAAGAAATTAGCATTACTCCCGAAACGGTAATTTTAGATTCTTCACGTTCTTCCAATGTAGAAGAAATAAATACAGATAAATTAGACACGTCAAGTAACGAAAAGATTTCAATAGATATTATCTCCTCGCAAGATAATATCATTTCAAAATCAAACGAATGTATTATCGAGGATAAAACCGATGTTAAGGAAAACATCGAATCAGTTGACGATGAATATCAAAATGAAAGGAAAGAAATCGAAGAAAAATCGGAAATAAAATCACATCCCGATCATATAAAGATCGAAGATATCGAACAATTGAATGATATTGAAAATGAAGAAAGCATTGAATCTGACGACTCGTCCTTGTTATCTACGGAAAATCGTCCAAAAGTACGATTCTATATTGCCGACGACGTTCTTATTCTAACACAGGATAAAGAAAAGGAATTAAAATCGGCAATGATTCAGGAAAGAACATTGAATACGGTACGATCCAAATTTTTATCCCTAGACGGTGGTTTTTGGCCAACTAAACATCCCTATCACGAGGCAGAAAAATATCTATTCGAAAGTTTAGCTCATAATAACGAAAAGAATTCAATTCGGGATAATAAAAATGATTCCGATCGTGATCCTCCCGATCATGGTTACGACGACGGTAATAATGGGGGTGGATCTAAAGGTGGTTCAGGCCGTTGTTTCGATAATTCGCGATCACTGTTGGGTTCACCACGTACGGAATGTCTTGTTACTGACCTGCCTGGTGGCATCTGTAGTTGGCGCGATTATAGTACTTATTTATCGAGCGAGAATGAGGAGAGACTGGATAACAACAGCTTACAACAGCTTACTCATAAAATGACTGAGAATTTGATAACCGAGCCGAGCTTGTTGCATTCGATGGCATCATCATCACTACCACCACCACCACCACCACCACTTACTTCGACTAATCTTCTTCAATTAACTTCGGAATCCCAAATGAATTCTAACCATCCTATCTGGACCAATAATGATGATGATGATGATGATGATGATTCAAGTGATAACAAATTAATTCCTCCTGATCATTCCAATGTATCAACTAACATTCTTCTAGTGAACGAAGAAAAACTAACTCCCATGTCTGTTCCTTTGAATGACGATCGAGAATTCGTCCAAATTGACCCTGAATCTTGTTCCTCAATATCAACCTCTATCCCAAATCATCCACCACTACCACCCACACAAGATATAGGTAGATCAACGTTGGATTATCTGCAGCAATGGACTACGAATGAACAGGTGGAGAGAGAGACGAGGGCAAACGAAGACAAGACTATGATGAGGATACAAGGGATCAAGGTGCGATGCGACATCATCATTGCCAGTAAAAAAAAACATCTTGTTGTACCATAAATGGTCAACATTATTACTGGCACATCTCTCTCTATATATATATATATACGTACATAACAGCGTATACGTGTCCTGTTTTTCTTTTTGTTTTTTTGTTTAGTCTTTTGTCGTTACCCCCCCTTGTTTTTCTCTTTTTCTTCTCTATTTTCTTCTCTACTATTCCTCATTTTTCTTTTGTTTTTTCTTTCATTAAAATAATTATTCCAAATCTCAGAACGATATGTGTGCTTATCTGCTTTGTAATTTTGCTGAAATCTGTATGTATATACTATTTTGAAGAATTAAATTAAATGATCTTAATCTCATTATTTAATATTAAAACTTATTATTATTATTATATAATTAATATTAAAACATTTCAGCAAAATTAATGAATATTTGTTTTTAAAAAAAGCTTACGTGACATTACTCTCTTTCTATACTAAATTCTATACGTATACTATATTCCTTTTGCTGCTATTAAAACGGCTTATATTTGGTTAAAACGCATGTTTAGTAGTATTCAAATCCTTTCAAGGTTTTTTTCGTTAATTAATCACTGAAATTATCGAAAAATTATGTAACAATATAAATATACAATTGTGTAAATTGAAAATATAGATTTTCTAAAGTAGAAAGAACGTAATAATAATAATAGTTAGTAATCTTTGCCGTATCGTAGACAAATGCTTTTGATTATATTGATAAAATTGAAATTTTTCACTCGTGGTTCGTTGTCCACTATAAATATATATATGTATATATATTCGTTAGATCGAATCGAATTATTTCTACCGAAGTGCTTGTAATTAATCGCTCGAAAAATTTCCTATTAACTTATAATTAAATCTCAAATACATTTTCTCTTTTACTTTTTTGTTGAGTTAAATAATTCCTACATAATATAACCATTATTATCCATAGTCACATTTATTTGAAAAAAAAAGAAAAAACAAATTAAAACACACGATTTCTAAATAATAATTCAAATTCACTTCGAGATCCTGATATATATATATATAATATATATTTGTATTTTTAGCATAATTCCTCTCATCCGCTTGACTACTTCTTTTTTCTGCTTGTTAACATATTCATCATATTTTATAGTTTGCATATATTTGATTAATCATTTTCTTATATAATTAATTCCTATTACTTATTCCTCAGCATATATATATTTATTTTTCATATCACAATACCTTATTTTAATATAATATATATATTTTACATCCCAAAATGATTTACATCATATTACAGTTTGATGTTTTCTACAGATTTTCAGCTAATCAAATTAATATATTTACCAGCTGGAGAATTGATTTGACAAATTGTCGTGTGCACGGCATGGAATATATTAAACAAAAGCAAAAATAATCAATAATGGAATTAACTAATATATGCATATATATATTTTACAGGATACGATAGAAGAACGTCTTGCAATATTAAAAAATGCCATCTCGGATTTAGAAGCTACGAATTTGCCTCGTGATTCTATTCAATCTATGTTATCTGCCATCGAGGTAAGATAACAATATATAAATTAATAACAAAAATGTATATATCTAAAAAGATATATAAAATATTCATATTTTAATTATTCTACAATATTTTAATCAGGTAATGATAAAAGAACTTGAAAATTATGAGGAAGAAGCTGTCGAATTGCAACGACAATTGAATGAAATTTCATTCGATACAACTTGTCAAATATATACGAATACTTTGGAAAGTATACAATCGCAAATTAATACTTTGTTTATACAAACTAAACAAAGTAAGGAGCTTTTAGAACAAGCTTTAGATATTCAACGTCAACGAACTACAGAAATAAATGAATATCTAATGTTCCTTGAAGAAACTGACGCTTGGTTAAAGGATATAGTACTTAAAATAAACGATCAATTACCTATGGATCAGGTTTGTTGTTTAATTAAATAATTATAATATTAGGGTGAACCGAAAAAGTTCGTGCCCTTTTAATTAATATCTCTAAAGTAAATTTTACAAAAAAAAACAAACCATTATGCAATTTCAACACTCATAAATGCACGAATTTTTTGGTTTCACTCTAATTATCAATATCAAAACTTTATACAAAGTATTTGAAATGTCTTTTATACTTGTCTACATTTTTGTCTTATTATACTTATACTACATTAACAGAATTTGCAAGCCCAGTTGTTAGATCGTAGTCAACGTGTATCAGAATTGGAATCATTACCAGAAGTTAAGGATTTGGCCAATGTATTGAAGAACGAACTGATGGATATGATTAATCGTCTTCAGCAAAAGCAGCAGGTATCAGAGAACGTTCAAAATTCGTGCGTTATGGTATCACAATATGCTGCTTCTTCTATTATTATGGTTGCTTAAAGCTCAATAAAAAAAAAAAAAGAGAAAAAAGAAAAGATACAAGTAAAAGATTTGTTGCTTTTTTGTTGGGTATTTCGTACATCATTCTTCATTATTATTTCGCTATGGTTGTAGTAGTAGTGTATTAAAAAAACAAACAAATCACTGCATAATTGAATCTAAAATTGTCATACTTAATGATTACTAAGATAAATATCATATCTTTCTGTAGAAAAAAAATACTATGATGTGTTAAATCATAGAGAGAAAGAAAAAGAAAAGTACTGATAAATGTTGATACAAAATGTACTGATATAAATATTCGTTCAATATTCGATATCTAAGTAGTAAAACCTAATGGTTCAATATACATAGATTGAAAATTTGTAATGTGACATAAATCATGAGGAATTTGGAAGAATATTTATATTGATGCAATTATAATCACATAATATAGTGCACTTTCTTATACTATAAATACATTGAGAAGTTATCTATAAATCAATCATAATATAATATATAAATATATATATACATATGTATATGCTTTGTAATGTTAGAAAGGATATATTTTATATAGTTCATACAATTTGTTACACATACAGTCAAACTTATCAGTGCACTTATAACACAGCTTTTCTCTAATTTTATATTCATTTCTTATTAAAAACTATGGATGTGAAGAGATAATAAACTCGTTGAAAATATATTTTTTTAATATATATATATATACAAACAAACAAAAATAAATAGAAATTTATTAAATATAATGAAATGTTAATACTATATGAAAAGTTGTGTAAAATATTTTCTTAGATTTTAAAATGTTATACATGAACATATCATAAAAAGTAAAGAAAAGGAAAAAACTTGTGTATCTATAGTTTTTAATGAAAGTGGTAGATCATCATCACATTCATTGTTTTTTATATGTGCATATGATTAATTGGCTATAAAGAATAAAATAGATAGAACACATTTTTACTTCACATGTACATTATCATCACTACAAATGCATGGGGGCGCTTTTCATCGAGCATACATTATCAATTTATCATTTATCACTCACCGTACCTTTTGATACCATTTACTTATGTTACATTTGTTAATTTATATTCATTTAGCTTAAGGTGATGGGATGTAACATAGTCATTGCATGTATTTAAGGAATGTTAATGCATTATTGTAATTATTCATACAACAATTAAAGTATTTTCATCAAATTATCTTCCCTTTGTGTATTCACTATATTCTATATTCATTTATTTATTTCAATAATTATTTCATTATATGTGTTCACCGTACGTTTAATATAACATGGATGAAGTAAATAACTTCAGAAATGATTATAATATATATGTTATAACTAATAAGGGCTCGATCGAAACACCAAGATTGTTTTCTTAAATTCTACACAGTTGTAGGTGTCCATTAGGGGGACCATACAATGTGCAATGATCCCTCTATGATCTATGTGCTCTATGATCTATGTGCTCTATAATCCCAATATTCAACAGTTTGCAAGAAAACGAATAGATAAATTAAACATGCATTGTTATATATCAATAATAAACGACAATGGGTTGAAAAGTCTTAAGCCTAACATCTTTTCAGCCCTGCTTATGGTAAGCTCAAAACTTTTCAACCCTCCTAGTCATAAACTCAAAACTTTTATGGTCTTGATAAACCATACACCATCTACAACTGTGTATAGAGTTTACAAAAAAATCTATGTTGACAAAGGTCGTTATGGGGAACATTTGTAAAATAATAATTAATATAACGTTACAATTAATTCTTTATATACTTTTATAATATTTGTGTATAATATATCTTCGTTGATCATAATCAAATTTATTTGTCGAATTGTTTCACAATAATACCAGTCACAAATCTCTTCGTGATGATTATTCAAAAATAAGTTCCGATAGTAATCTTAATCGTTCAACACACGACATCAAGATACGCGTTGTGATAACTGGGAAACAAAATTTGCATTGTTTTTTAGACAAATAAATAGTTCCTTAGAAACTTGTCGTAATTACAGGAATTGCTGGACGAAGAAGCATTGGCCGATGACGAAACTACTGATCGTGATGATGCGACAATCGATCAGGCACCATCGATACACTCAACTACTATTGAAAGTGGTCCGCCATCCTTAGCCGATGTGTCTTTGCAAACGGGACAAAGTTTATTATTAGATATTATAGAGGATAAGCCAATACAATTAACGAAACAAACGTCGACGATACAAATACCAATTACAACGTCTACTCAATCATTAACGACACAGACTATAGACACCATTACTTATCCAGATCAACAAATAAAAGAAACAATAAAAGTAGTCAAATTGTCCGAGGGTGATCACGATGTCATAGAAATAGCAACGAAAAATGCTAGGGCAACTGATATTAGTCAAAGTTTAATTCGAAGCGAACAAAGTAATATCGTACCCGACGATATCATAGTTGATATGAAATATCAAGATGGTCAAAAAGAGGATAATGCTAAAAGTGAATTGAACATACATCATGCTACACCACAATCATTCGAAACTGTATTAACTGAACCGGATAACGTGACTACCGAAGTAGTTGTCGATGCGGATGGTACGAAAAGAATTATCGTTAGAAAATTAAGGCATACAGTTGTTACCAATAGAAATACCGAACAACAACATGCATCCTCGATTACAACAGCTCTTGGTAAAGATGCATCAAGGATGCAAGCATTTTCAGAAGCAACACTGAGAGATCAATACGTTACAGTAACCACAACTAAACCCGATGGTACTGTTGAAACATTGACAAAACAAATTCATGGCAGTAAAGTAACGACAGGTATACCGGATGCTGAATATTTCGAGGAAAAATACGAGAGTACGCCTCAATACACTCACAAAATAACTCAAGGAGCTATCAGGGATATCAGTCCTTTACCTATCGAAGAACAAATACTTGAACATGGCCAATATCAAACCAAAACGTCCAGCGTTCACGCTGTAGTACAACAGGTTACTAGAAGGGTCATTAAAAAAACACGTAGGATTATACGAAAAGTTACCATAATAGATGGTAAAGAAACTACCAGCGAGGAAATAATCGAAGAACCTGATGAAATAGAAATCGATGAACAAGATATACCACATATTAATATTAATGTTATTAAAAACGAAAGTGAGAGAACATTTGGATTGGAACAAAAAGTAACTGACGAAAAGAAACAAGAACCGTCATTATTCTCAGGTCTTTCAGGAAACATACAAAGTAGTACCACTTATGAACAACATTGTCCAGATAGTCCTATGCAAGGTCCATTCTTTGGTCCGTTTGCAAAGGATATGTCAAGCATACGTCGTTCTGAAGTTAAGAAAAAACCTATTGAAAGTATCATTGTCGATGATACAAAAGTTGACACAGGAAAGATATGCGATGAATCAAAAGAAACGGATAAAGTTGAAATAATACATTCAACACACGATGATAATACAAGTGAACAAAAGTTTGTTACAAATGAACAACCTATAACTATAGTTCAAGAACAAGATATTCTAACTTGTACTGTCACTGATATTCCATCTGAATCTGTCATTGATGATATTCATAGTCCTCGTGATATTATTTCAGAGGTAAATAATACTGGAGAAATGTTTCCAAGGGAACAAGTTACGTCCTATCTAGAAGAGTCTATTATTTTGCAGACACCTGATGAGGATATACCTGCTGTTATACAATCACCAGTTTCATCGGAGGATCCAGCAAAGACCGACAACGCATCAGTTACAACTGAAGCTACTTGTAAGTCAGATGATGCACCAATAAGCAACATATCACTTGGTACATTGTTAGAAAGCAGCACGGTAGAAGTAGCAAAGCACGATGATGATAGCAATATTTTAGATCCTGACAATGAAACTAGTAGAACGAGTATTTATATGTTAGAGGATCAACAAGACACACGAAAAATCCAAGAACAAGTATTACCTACAATGGAGAACAAATTGGAAGATAATAATGTCGAACAATTACAAAGACAGTTATCAGATATTCAACCTGATGTTAAATCAAAAGAAACTGCATCGTCGGAGGAAATAATAAAAATAACACAAACTATAGACAAAGATATTTCCAAATCGCGAGATGAAAAAGAACAAATAGAAAGATTTTTAATAAAAGAAAGAGATGGTATATCTAAAGATGACATCTTTTTATCCGAACAAAAACCAGTTGCTGGTGGAAAAGTAGAAATTTCATTGTCTATTCAAAAACACGATGAAAAACCAGAATCAATGGTATATGTAAAGACTCAATCAGAACGTTCAAATGAACGACCTTATCATACTGTTTTAGAAGACGTTAAAATCAATCTTCCAGCGGATCAAGAAGCATCCGAAGTTGTTCATAATAAAACAGTGCAAACTAGTCCATTGTGTGATGTTCAGAAAGACACTGTAACGACTCAAACTTCGATTCCATCAACTACCGAAACGAGCCAACAAGAATCAGTACTGAATGATCAATTAAACGTACAAGATAATGAAAACAATAAAATGCAAGAGGAATTGCATCAACTGCAACAAGATGCAGGAACTATTAGTCCAGTTTCTACGACTATTGCTGAATCAATAGAAATTAGCGTACCCTTATCTGAATCACCAGAACATATCAGTGAACAACCTCAACCAGACATAGTAGAAATCACTGATTCACTAAGATTAAGTTCAAATAATAAAAACGATAGTTTTGGATATGATCATGGTTATGAACCGGACGACAGAACAACAGTCGAAGAACAACCATCTTCTGTTCAAGCTGATGATATTAACAGAAAAAAGAAAAAGAAAAAGAGAAAGAAACAAAAAAGTCGCGAAGTAATAGAAGACTCTTCTGGGATTATTAAAAATTCTTCTGACGAGGAAGATGATTCAGCGAATAAGTTAATAATATCAGATAAAGAAGACAATATAAATAAAGAAACGAATAAAGAAATTGAAGATATTGAAACGAAATCTGTCATCGAAGAACCGATAATCAATATAGATAAAATTCCTATTGATACGCAAACGGTTGCCATAGAAACATGTAATGTATCCATTTCTCCGGAACAAAATAAAGAGTTAGTTTCTATAGGATCAGTAATTGACACTGTCGAGCAAGAGATGCAAACATTTAAAGTAGAACAAACAGATAGTCATATGCAAACCTCACCGAAATCAATGCTTGAAAGTGGTGTACAAACGGTTCAAGAAGAAAAACCTAAAATAAAGGAATCCAGTATACAAACAGTAACACCTACGAAAATACCAATGACGGAAGATGCAATTCAGACCAGTCCAATTGAGGATGTTACATCATCACCTATCTTGCTAGAAACTAAAGACTCGTACGTACAAACAATCGTCGAAATGGATTCAGCAGAAATGCAAACTTCACCGATAGAATGCATTCCTTCGATAGATATAGAAACACAAACGTTATCTAAAGTATCTATCGAAGCTGAACAACAAACAACTCCTCCTGCTACTATAGAACAAACAACATCACCTGATCAATTCGAAATAGTCGAAGAAAACGTACAAATGAACGAACCACCTGGTCCTAAGAAACCGGAAATGTTAGATTTCGATGTTCAAACTGAATTATCAGATAAAGCAATACTTGAAACTACAGAAATTCAAACAATATCGATTGAACCTATACAACAAGAAGTGGAAACTCAAGAAACTGAGGTACAAACTAAATCACCCGAAGTTTGTTCATTAGAAACCATGGAAACTCAGACAACTCCTGAAGAGAGTTTGAACAAAATCGAAACGGAAGAAAGGGAAATACAAGTTAAATCGTTCCAATTGTTTCCACTTGACAGTATAGAGACTCAAACAACCCCAGCACAGAGTCCTCGTAAAATAGAGATCATGGAAAAAGAAGTGCAAGCACAATTAATGGATATTACTTATCCTGAAACGGTGGAAACACAAACGACACCTAAGGATAGTCCAAGAAAGATAGAAGTGTTGGAAAGAGAGGTTCAAACAAAATCATCGTCACCGATTAATAACATTATGACTCAAACAAGTCCGGTTACTAGTTTAAAACCAGCAGAAAGTTACGATTTGGAAACACAAACTACACAAAAATCGGAAGGTATGGAAATAGAAACACAAACTAGTTCACCCGAACATGTTGAAACTATTAGTAGTTCTATGCAAGTTGAATCTAAAGAATTGATACCCCATCTCGACAAAACTTCACAAATATCTGCTGAAAGTTATGATAAAAGTTCACAAGTTTCACCCAAGTTACATGAAACATTAGATGAATCGATACATGGTACAATTGAAGATCAACTTTTCAAAACTACAGCATCGGTTATACAATCCAGTGATACAGAAATGCAATCAAATTTAATTGAATTACCAATCGTAGAAGTTACGGAATCATTATTACAATCAGAAATTAGTGATGCTAAATATACAGAATCACCTAAACCTGATATAAAAGTATCGGAAGAAACTATGGTACTTCAAAATAAAGATAAAGATATGGAAATTTCCAAAGAAGAAATCGAAGATATAATATTAGAAAAAGAAAAAGAAAAAGAAGAAGAAGAACAAGAAGAGGAGGATATTTCTGAATCGAAAAAATCACTGGATAAATCGTTAGTAAAGAGTTCAACACCGGATACTTCGTTCGAGGTACACATAAAAGCAACGATAGAATTATCTAGCAGCGAAACATCTGGGGAAGCTGTAATAAATGTTGAATCACCGACAGATACATCCCAAGATGTATCACTAACAACTCCGAGCACGAATGACAATAACGAAACTAAACGTGAAAAAAGGCAAAGAAGAAAAAGGAAACATAAGAGTATGGAAATTCAATTGCCAATTAAAGATACAACTAATTTGAATACCATATTTGGACAACCAGCAGAATCGCAAAGCTCGTCTTTGAAATTATCTTATTCCGATGTAGCAAAGAAAAATGCAAGCAAACAACAATTAGCAATAAACATCGATGAAACTAACGCTCCTCAAAATTATGGAGAAATCGTTGACGAAACAATAACCAAATCTTCTTCTTCTTCTTCTTCTTCTTCCGTTCCACTGAATTTTGATGAAGAAGTTAATAAAAATGTTCAAGAAACTAATCAACGAGAAGAAACTATAATAATACCTTTGGACACCGATACGAGTCCTGTATCGGAATCAACGATTTTAACTGATATATCGAGACCATCTAAATCAAATAAATCATTCGAATCATCGTTAGCTCGCGAAGATCAACGATTCGAAACACTGTTCGTATCTACTCCGAGTGAACCAATGGATACAACTATGTCACCGGGTGAATCACCGTCATCCATGAATCAATTAGATAAATTAGATAAACCTGAGAAAACACAAGTGAAAACTTACGCGGAAGCCATTTCCCAATTATTAAAAACTTCGTCGGTACCAAATACAGTTGAATACGAAAAAGAATACGAAACCACGTCGTCATCGTCAGCTTGGGAAGATCGATTACTCCTTCCCCATTCAACGAATTCCCAAAAAGTATCTAACAGTCATGCTGATTTTTCATTAAGGGAAGCAATGGAGGGTAGAATTCCTCAACATCAGCCTACCCAAAAGACCCAAACTACGCGAATTATTTCGGATAGAGTTAAGAGTCTTAACAATGCAGCTGAGATGGATCATTTGGGTAATGTATTGCACGTTGCACGTTTGAGCGAAGTTACAACAGATAAATCGGCTGAAGAACGTTCGTTGGATGTAAGAAAAGAATTGACGCAACTTAGAAATGCTATTGAAGAAAATGATGTAGTCATTGTCGAGGAAACACTTCTCACGGTTATAGAAACTATATCAACGTGGTTGGAAACAATAGAATACAGAATTTTCTTGAACAGAGAATGTCCAAGTGGATTATCTCACAACGATGCTAAAACGTTTATCGAACTGAAAGAAGAAGTTGATCACGTTGCGGAAAATATCAGAGAACTCGATGACATGTGGAAATTAGTTGAAGTCAATTATCCTATCGAGGAACGTGCCGTGTTGAGAGAATGTTTCGATGCTTTAGAACAACACGCCAAAGCAGTTGAACACGTGACGAATACCAGCGAGGAATGCGCTAATAATCATCTTGCCAAGTGGGATGAATTATTGAATGGTATTAATAACATATACAGGTAAGTTATGTTCACTTGTAAATTTACGACGAATAACCTATTTTTTTTTTCAAGTTTACGTATGCCAATTCAATTTTGATTTCTTACAGGTTGGTCGAAGAACAACGCAAACAATTAGATAATATTATCGAATGCGAAGCTTCGACTAGATGGAAATTACAAGAATTAGATAAAATGGAAAATATGAATCGTTGTCACATGTGGAAAACTGGAAAACTTCTTGCCACCTCGCACGAATTATTACGAGATTATCCTGGAAAAATTATACCAGAGGAAACTTATTTGGCTCATGAAATTACGAAAATTATTGAGAATGGTATAACCATCGAAAGGGATCGTCTTCTTCAATTACTCGCATTGGCCGAAGAATACGAACAAACGTTGCAAGAATTTTCGCAAATTATCGAAATTGCTGAAAATCTGCTACAGAGTCCGATATCCGTTATGAATTTGGAACACCTTCAAGAGGAAATGCAGAAACATAGGAAATTCTTTGTCAATTTGAATCACTGTCGTGTCATTTTGGAATCGTTGGAAGGCAATTTGGATCCGGAAACTAGGGCAAAACATTCCGATTTACACGTGGAATTGCACAGCCGTGCATCCTCGTTACTAGATCAAGCCGCTTCGCGTGCACAACAAATGGCACTGGCAGCAACACGATGGATTCTTTTGGAACAAGGTGTCAAAGAGGAAAAAGGTTGGCTTCAAGTAGCTCATCAACGTGTTCCCGATCTCCAAACAGTTAATTCTTCCGATTACGATCAATATATTTCTTTATATCAGGTAAATTAAGAGTTTATATAAAAAATCTATTAGTTTAAATCGAATTATATTCTTAAGTTAAACTGATATCTAAATGAATGATCAATTGATCAAATGATTTTAACTTTTGTAGTCTTTATCTTCGGATGTTGCGATGCATCACGCCCGTATCATTCAATTATTGGACGTTGCAAATCGTTTAGAAGAATTGGTTACCATTGAAAATTCTGAAGATCATTATAACGAAGTATTAGATGAGATAGTTAAACTACGAGATAACATAGAATCATCTTTAAGACGATTGTTATCGTTTCGAGAAAATTGGAGTAGCCAGCAAAAGTTAATCAACCGTATTGAGGGTTGGATGACAACTGCTGAGAAAGAACTAGTTCCCCTGAGTAACACGTCGAGTGGAAACATGCGTCGTTTTTGGGTAAGTATTCATTTAATTGTTAACAAATTAAAGAAACAACAACAAAAAATATATATATATATATATATTAATTTTGAAATATTATCTTAAAGGAATTGAAAGCACAATACGAGATACACAACAACATGCGAAACGAGGCAGACAAATGTTTCGATCAAGCATTAAAAATCATACCGTTATCCGACGAAATATTGCAAAGACAATTATACAGCGAATTGCAATATCGATGGAAAGGCGTTACGGAAAAAATCAATGATATACAATCGGAAATAACTCGTAACATTTCATCGGAAGACGTGTCATCAAACGAAAGATTAAAGATATTGGAAAGGGAATTGAACGAATTGAGAATGTGTCTAGACGATTTGCACGGTGTATTGAAAACCGAAGAGGAACTTGATCTTTACATAGAAAGACTTACCGTATTGTTCGACAGAGTTACGTTGATTCAAGATAAACTCAGTCGTTTGGGTCTTTTACCAGCTGCTGAAAGTGAAACCGTTGGTATTCTTTTATCGTCGGCACACCGCATTGAAGGTCAGATAGGCGAGGAATTAGATTCGGCTCAGTTACTTCGTGAAAAATTGCAAGCATTGAAACGTGGACTGGGACGCGTAAGAAAATCACATCAAAGGCACTCGATGACGTTGGATCAATGCGAGGAAAGTGAGAAACAAGGTAGCGATGTTGTATCAACTGCGGTGGATCGTTGCGAATCGGTTGCAGACGAATTAATTGTACTTTGGCATGATTTAATGGGTCTAAGACAAATGTTGCATAAATTACCGTCCGGCATGAGAGTAAGCGTATCACCTGTAGGAATTGAACGCGACATTTCGGCACTTCAAGACGCCCATACGGAATTAGAATCGAGATGCACCCGTTTATTATCATTATTAAGAAATAGATTAGCTTTGTGGAATCGTTTTGAAAAACATTTGGAAATGGTACAACAATCCGTTCAAGAAGCCGATTATATGATGGAACTTTTAACCGTACAAGGTTCCGTGGATTACGATAGATTACTCAAGGCTACAGAACGACTCGAGGTAAGTGTGTCATAATTCTAATATAAAAATAAACAGCATCATTTTTTAATGATTACATTTCTAATATTTTGAACCATTATTAAAAGGTGAAACAAAAGTTCGTGTGTTTTATTGCGTTTAAACTTTACTTTACTAACTGCATAATGGATTGTTTCTTTCTTTCTTTTTTTTTTTTGTTAGATTTACTTTGGAGATATTAATTTTTAAAAACGCGCGAACTTTTAGTTCACCCCCTAATATATATATATATATATTTTAGTTTGTCGTTAGAATATTATAATATTATATATTATTTATACATTGTTGCAGAGTAGAATCGTTTATTTTTTTATACTATACGCAACCGAAATATGTCGTTTTTTTCCTCTATAATTATCAATTTTCTATTCCAAGTAGATAACTTTAAAATTGATCACGTTTCAATTCATATTCATAATGCGCATGCGCAATACCCCACGTTCGGATTTTATAGCAAAGTATTTATCAGTAGCGCGGGAACCGTCAACACGCGTGCATTACGTATATGCATTTAAGAATAATACCGATGAATTTTCTTCTATGGTTTATATTTACGATCCAAGTTATTTCTGATATATCCGTGGTGGGTTATAGGGGGGATACTATATATCTCGTCACTAAACTAACGCTATGGCAAAATTAGCTTCCTATACGATAAAAATGGTTAGACAACATAGTCGGCTCCAGAAATTCTTAGTAAAATACGAAGCAGAATAAATAGCTTCAAGGTAAGCTATAACCAATAACAACTTAGGAACGAGAGTCAGGTTCTTTCGTTTTAATAATGTACGATACTGTTCGCTATAATTTTCTTATAAACTTAAAAAACAATATCTGCTAAAATATAAATCATATATATATAATAAATACATGTTGGTTCGAAATTGGAAAATGATTTTTAACGTTTTAACGCTTTACCTTTTCGTATACACTTTGAACGTAATTTATATAATTCTCGTGTGTAATGATCGTAAAAATAAATTAATTTATATTTATAACATTCTACTTTTTCTTAAATAAAATGAATGCAACGATAGAAAGATATATATATATATTTTATCCATATTTTTTTTCTGTCATTGATAAGAACAAGCGTGCCTTTCAAACGACATAGATGGAACGTCTTGTTATCTTATACGCGATTCGTCACTCGTTGCCGGATCTTTCCATGCAACAAATATTTCGAGTTATGACCAAAGACAACTCGTGTTATGCATTTACGATAGGATACGATACGATACGATACGACTAAACATACATTCTTATATTTATATTTTTAGAATTGTTCAAACAAAAATTCGTAACTACTGCGTTTACGACACGATAACCCACACGAGGAGAGGTCAAAATAATATTTATAAGTCGATAGCACCGGATATGCTTTAGCACTCGTTCAGAATAAATGTCGTATTCTTTTCGTTCTGTTCTGTTCTGTTCTGTTCCGTTCCCGTTGTATCTCTGACGAAATAATTCAAGAACGCGTGTGTGTTTGGATTAGAAAAAGAAAAAAATATAAACATATATATAAGTATATATAC